AATTAATGCAGCAGGACATATGACAGTTAACTAGTTTACTAATGCCTTTGTGTGAAAGAAACTGCTGCTGCCATCCATCTTGTGATAAATATTAGTTATGATGTAAATACAAAATAATTTGTACTACATGTGAACTGCTCACTGTTACCCAGTCTTTGTCATCTTACAGTTCAAGGGAAGGACTTCACCTTTGTGCTCTTAAGTGACAGCTTTTGTTACATTTTTTTTTGGCTCAATACTCTTGCCATTTAATAATTCCCTGCCTTACATAGAATAATGGGAGGAGAATGCAGCCATCACATCCATGCCCTTTGCCTATTTGCTCTTATTTGGTTTTCTGGGATTTCTATTTTGCTAGGGTATGTTTATATTGCAAAAGAACACAGCAAAACAAAAAAGAGCAGAGTGTGGTAGCTCAGGTTGAAAGAACAGTAAAGAGACTGCAGTTCTGATTTTAACACTGGTTAGCAGTTAAATAAAACCTATTAGGGGATGGAATTTGAGCTGCTAACTTAAGTGCAGAGTTGGTGTGTCTTCACTGTTTTCATATGAGTTGGCTAACAAGCTAATTCGTGGTAAGATCACACTTTGCTTTGCAGTCAGACATACCCACAGTGAGCAAGCATAGCTTATGTTAATTGACCTTAGTTTGGCCATCTCTGTCAGCCTTTGCTCCTGCACAGCATGTTAGTTATTTTCACCCAAATCTCCAAACAGTGCATGTGACCTTTCAAGTCTGAGTAAAAAGTGCTTGCATGAGCCTCTTAAAAATTATACTTGGCTTTATGGAGTGTTGAAAAATTTTACTTTTTGTGCTAATAAATAATCTTAGGATGCCTCATGAAACTACTGGTTTGCTAACAACTTGGACCATTCTTGAAAATCAAACTTCAGTTAGGCTCTCTATTTATGCAAACATCTCAAACTGCATTACAGTTAGCACAGTCATTACTCACACAACAGTACAGAAGAAGCCTTGACTGCTAGATCAACTGACTTCTAAACTTTAATTTACATTGAAACGGGATCATTAACAGCTCTAACTAGCAGAGTTTATTACAGCTTTAGTGCTTGTAATAAGATACTAAGTGTTTTCATTGCTGTAGAAGGAGCCTCTGTATGGGATAGTTGCAGCTGAAAACGATAGTGTTTAGCTGCATTTTTTACTTTCGGGTTGGGTGTGGTCCCTTAAAAATAGTTATGAATAATGGCTGCTGGTATCTTGCCATATTTCAATAGATTCCATATAAAACCTGTTCTTTTCTATTTTAAACTCCAAATCTCTCCTATTCCTAGTGCTGTGTTGTCATTCTTCATCTCCAAAGAGCCTAAGGACACATCTTTGCAAAGTTTCATCTGCCCCACTGCAAGGAGTTAGTTCCTTAGTTGAGGCAGCTGTAAGAATTTAACTTCAACATGGGGTCAGTTAAGCATATGGGGAGGAGGGGGAAATTAAGTAGCATTTCTGAAGACCTCATTTAAATCTCAGGCTCAATACTCTGTGACCATAGAAGAGCAGATGTTAAATTCTATGTACAGTACATGTCTTGCCTATATCACATGGGCTGGAGATTAAGTGTACCAATCCTCTTGCTAATTGCTGCCTCTGGTTCTAGAATCATATTTGGGGAATCTGTTCTATCTGTTGCATTTTCTTAGTATTTAGTTGGCATGCTCTCTGCTCCACATTAGCACCCAAACATTTCACCGAGCTGTGCTTGCTCTAACATTAGATTTGCATTTGAACTGTAGAGATTCTGCCTCACTAGAGGAGCTCTAAATGTCCTGTCTTTCTCCATTACTTCATATCTCCCCATCCCTGGAGGTCCTGTATTTGTGGACAACATCTTTTCTTTTTTTTCTTTTCTTTTTTTGGTTAACAATAAAAAGCTCCCAGTGCTGCTGCTTAACTGACTAGAGAGAATAACACACATTTCCTTCTGAGGGTTGCCTTTCTAGCAATACTGTCTTTGATTTCCCCCTTCCCAATTATGACTGTGAGACTGGGCCATGCATTTAACTAAATGTGTAAAACATGCATACTCAGTCTGTAACTCTAAGGTATTCAAATATATTGGAAAGGAGGAGATACATGATTTCTAATAGTATTGGCAGAAAAATATTTTTCAATCTTTTTATCCTCTAACACGAGGCAGATGTCATTCAAGCATAAAAGAGACAGAGCTTTTTTAGGGGCCAGCCCAAGGGTAGAATGAACTCTCATAAGAACTAATAGCCTCACCAGCTTCCAGTGGAAGTGCAAGGCATGCTTTTTTGATTTTTCCTTCTCTAATGTAAACACATAGCAATTATATATGTTATAATGAAAAAAATCCAAAACATGATACTCCATTGCACACGCTCCTCTCCCAGGATGAGAAGAGAACCAGCATGTGACTGATGTTATATCAGAGGTCCCCAAACTGTGGAGCATGCCATAGGAATGTCTGTGGGGGGGTGGAAATTAGGGCCCAGGTCAACCTCTTGGGGAGTTAGGGAGGGAATGCCAATCAACCCCTCTCAGCCATGGCCCTAGCTCCTGGCTCAGAGTCTGCTTCTGCTCCCAACCTCAGCATAGCTCTATACCTGGTTGTGGGCCCAGCTGCTGGTTCACACACCTGAGCAGAAGCTTTTGTTCTTCCTGAAAGCTTTTGTCCCGATGGCACTGGAGATGATCTGAATCATTGCTTGTAAGCCACCTGACATTGTCTATTTCTCTTGGAAGGCCTTTGAGAGAGATATAGGGGGCATCTACACAACACCCTGAACTCGAAGTAAGATGCATAATTTGCACTATGCAAAGTGCGTATCTTATTTCAAATCTATTTTGGAATAGCTTATTTTGAAATTTGGCGTCTCTACCCAGCGTCAACTTTCGAAATAACACGCTACAGGCAGTCCCCGACTTGCGCGGATCCGACTTATGTTGGATCCGCACTTACGAATGGGGCTTTTCTCGCCCCGGAGCTCACGGGCGGCGGGTTGCCACCCGTGTCCTCCGGGGCGAGAAAAGCTTCTCCCGCTCTCCCTGGTCTGCTGGGGGGGTCCAGCAAAGCCGCTGGAGCCCCCCAGCAGACCGGGGACACCCGAGCAAAGCTGCCGCCTGGGTGGCTTTGCTCATTTGCCTGGGAGCAAAGCCGCCCAGGCGGCGGGACCCCCGCCGCCTGGGCAGCTTTGCTCCTGTCCCCCTGGTCTGCTGGGGGGGGTCCAGCAAAGCCGCTGGACCCCCCCCAGCAGACCAGGGACACCCGAGCAAAGCTGCTGCCTGGGCAGCTTTGCTCGTTTGCCCAGGAGCAAAGCCGCCCAGGCAGCGGGACCCCCGCCGCCTGGGGGTTGGTCCTGTGGGAACCTACCGGGCAGCCCCCAGCTGTTCTGTCCCAGGCTCCAGATTCAGCAGCTGTTGAAACTGATCAGGCTGATTCCAGGAAGCTGGGGGCAGAGCAACTCTGCCTCCGGCTTCCTGTAGTCAGCCCCTGGTCAGTTTCAGTGGTAGCAGCTGAATCTGGAGCCAGTTCCGACTTACCTACAAATTCAACTTAAGAACAAACCTATAGTCCCTATCTTGTACGTAACCCGGGGACTGCCTGTATTTTGAGACCTCTCTTACCGGGATGCTGAAATGGCGCTCACGTTATTTTGAAAAATATTTCAAAATAAACAGGTGGCTTGGATAGACATGGGATAGCTATTTCAGGATATCTGTGGAAGACTTCTCTTTGCTGATGGTATCTTGTCTAGGGCTCTGGCTCTTTCCTCCACAACTAGGTGAAATGAGGTCTGCATTGAATTCAAACTGGGGTAATCTCGCAGCAGAATCTCATGTGCCACTTCTGTATATGAAGGGAGAAATTACTATCCGTCCTTGACCAATGTTAGTGTAACTTTAACTGAAGAGTTCTCTCTCCTACTTGAGTATAATTTTTAACCACTTGCACAGCATTTAAGGACCCTAAAAGATTTTACAGAACATGCTTTGAATTCATGTAGACTGCTATTTCTTGACTGTCAGCTGTTGCAGTTATATGAACCAGTACATTGTTGTTTTTTGTCATTCAAAGGAGGCCTCTTCTGTTTGTTTTCACTACACACAGAGCAAAACACTTTGTGCTTTAAGGTACAGTAGGGCCTGCTTCTGACAGATTGTGAACATCCACAACTCTCCATAGGAGGGTGACCATTACACACGTCTGGATCAGGTCCTCGCTTATAATTGAGAGTGGCTATCTGAATCTTTCCTGGAAGGGCAAATGGTAACATGTGCTTTCATATTTTCAAAGTAATTGATCTTATTCTCAGATATGTCCCCCATCAATCCCAGAGCAATCATAAGGTTTGTAAGCATGTTATGGTGTGCAAGGAAGTGCCCCAGTCTGCAACACACTCACTATTGACACATTTGTATCGATGAGCTGTGTGGAAAAAGTTCAGTTGCCAGAGATTATGTACAGTGAAACCTTTGTTATCCGGCACTCTGTTAATCAGAAAACTTTGTTAACCAGCATTGCCCCCAGCCACAATACTGTCACATCTTCAGGTACACAGGCCTGGCTTGGTTTACCATGATTGGCTTAACAATTTTTTATTTAAGACATACATTTAATCATCTTTAACTCAAAATTGAAATGTGAAACCAACTGCTTCACACTACAAAACTACCAATATTAAAAATTTGAGTGTTACTATTATTGTCCATTGGTTTTTCCTAGGTTGATGGGACCCTCAGATAACTGGAATTTTTAGATAACTGGAACGCCCTAATCTCCGAGCATGCCAGATAACACAGGTTTTACTGTAATATTGTCCATTGCACCTTCAGTTTCTCTGGCTTATGTATAATGTTTCTAGAGGCAAATATTAAATCTATTCAGATTGCTGTGCAATCAGATTTTGTGGAGAGGTGAAATGTTAGTAAGCTTGTTTTAAAGGAGGGCTGTTGTCTTGAATGTAGCTGTACGCAGATTTAATTGGCAAATGAAATAATTTCTTTCTTTTCCTTACAGAAAACCATAGCTAAAATTGCAACATGCCTGGAATTGAGGAGTGCAGCTTTGCAGGTAATGTATTGCCCTGCCATTTCTGATTTGTGATTTTTTTTTTTAAACGAGTGTCAACCAAGATCATAGGAACACAGTTCTATATGGAAAGCTGATTTGTGCCATCAGGGAATTGACTTTGCTTCTAATACTAAATGTTTCTGTTCCTCTATCGGTTAAGTTTCAATGGAATGAAGTGGAGAAGGAGGTAATGTGTAAGACTTTCCAGATGTAGGTATAATTTCTGGCTTGCAGTTTGTAATCAGTTTTAATGCTGGGACTTCCACCACCAGGTAGTTGCCTGAAAGCCTCTGAATGTTTAAGGACGTATGTGTGCACTGAATGTCACAAAATTGCAGGCTTCCTGTTCCTTGTCACTTCAGATTCCTTCCATAGAAGATGACAGTGCTGGTGGTATGCAGAGAGGATATATAGACAGCAGCAGAAACAGCACTGGGGTGCACTTTACACAAGCCTAGCTGTTTGTACGTAGCCCTGCTAGACCTTAAGAGCACTTCAACAGTTTTCACTCTGCGTAGATTCCTGTCCTCATTACTCTCCTCCAGGGGAAGCTGCGCAGATACAAACTTTGGGGGAGGAGGGGAATGTGAGGGAAAAGAGTTAACTTAAAAGGGGAGAGGGACTTGTAAAAATGGAAGATAGGTGAGAGAAAATGAACTTTGGCACTGAGCTGCAGTGTAGGTTTTATTTCTTCCATTACTCCTGTAAATAAGAGTGATGGTTATTAAGAACAATCAATCCACACACACTGGGCAAGGTCCTGTAGAAATAACTAAGATGTTTCGACTTTGGTTTATATCCTGTATACTTTTTCATACTTTTCAGTGGCTAATGAGCAAATTATTTAAAATCCCCTTCTGTTATCCTGGTTGCTTGTGAAACAGTAAGAAAGAGTTAGTCTCAGACAATGCAGATGGGTCTGTACTTGGTCATGAGTTAGGGACTGTGTGTGTTAAATATGATTTGGTTTATAAGAAATTCCTCAAACTGAGTCTTGCCAGTAAAGTAGTTCTGGCCTTTGTCAAAATCATAGCAGAAAAATCTTGCTTTTGAATGTTTAAAATATAAACTGTTTGTTTGCTTTTTGTGACTTTAAACATAGTCTAGTGTATATTCTGTGTTAAGACCGCAAGGTTTGATTTAATTTTTGCCTGTGTTACTGCCACATTCTTTAAGATGGCTGAAGATCTGGGAAGTGTCTGACCTACCTAATCAACGGAGGAGGCTAGCTCTGTTGCTATCCAAGAGCGAGAAAATAGCTCCACCCATTGAGGAGGAGGCAGGCCCATGGTACAGTTGAGAGCACCAGACTGGGAATCAGGAGTCTTGGATTTTGTTCCCAGTTCTCCATTGATTTTGTGTGATCTTAACCTCTGTCTTCCTCAGTTTACTATGGGTTGGACCTCTCTGATCCGGCACCTTTGGGACCTGACTGGTCCCGGACAAGGGGATTTACCGGACTGGGGGAGGTTCCTCCCTTAATGGCCTGTGCTAAACTGCTGCCCTTGCCCCGCTGCTGCCTGGCCAGCTGCCGCTCCCTAGGCGGGAGCTCTCCAGCTCCTGCTGGCCCCACTGCTGCCGGGGTCAGAGCTGTGCTGCAGGAGTTGGAGCTCCCTGGCTGCTGCACTCCCTCCCTCTGACCTTCTAAGTGGATAAGCTGTTCAGGAGCTGAGGCTATCGCTGAACAAGTGCAGGTCCTTTGTTCCAGCAGCCATTGCAGCAGAACAGAGGGGTGGATTCAGAAGCTGCATGCCACGCTCTGAACTGCAGCTTGCAGCAAGCTGAGTGAGGAGCACAGCACAGACTGTAACCAGCCCATTATCTGTGGGTGCAATTCCATTACAGGGCAAGAGAAATAGCAAGGACCCTCCCAAAGCTCTGTCATCTGTAACATGCTTTCAGTTTGGAATAGGGTTGGTAATGGTGTTGGCTGCTATGTAACCTACAACATTAGCTGCTTCATTTACTCTGCAACTTGCCACAACTCCAATGTGTGCTCCTTGTAACAGCTTACAGGGGCAGTAAAGAGATGTTCAAATACTAGTCAGAGCCAGATGCAGCCTGGGCAGGAACTGAGCTGTTTGGGGTAGTTTGCCGTGTGCAGGAACTTGGTTGGCTCATCTTGATTTTGAATGTAGCCACAGGCCTTTAAATAGAAACTTTCACTTGTCCCAAATCAAGTGTTGACCAGCCAACCCGCTTGTTTGTCTCTAGATTACGTGTAGAGAGAGACCTGACCAGTCCAACCCGCTTGTTTGTCTCTAGATTACATGTAGAGAGAGACCTGACCAGCAAGGGCCTGAACCCACTGTGGTCAAACTCAGAACATACGTGTTACTACGTATGTTGAGAGAACTGATAGTCCCTACTGGATTTAGCTCCATAGCCTTGTTTCAGAGAATTATAGCTTGGTCACTAAATCTGCACCAATATGAAATATGAAGCCCCTTTAAACAATTAAAACTCATTGTGTTTGTTTAATGACGCTGTCCTCCAGCCTCCATATACTGGTCTTTCCTGACTCATCCTTTCCCTAGCTAAGGCTTACGCCAAGCAAGTCACACTTCTCTAGGCAGTAACTCAGGGATTTTATACTGTTTCAGGTTTGATTTGTGGAATTTTTCAGCTTCCACCTCATTTTAGGAAGCCACACACACGCTAAAGTTACATTGTGGCATCCTGTCTGGGACCAAAGTAGCTGATTAGCTTGGTCAGTCCTCCCTTCTACTGGCATGGTATGTCTTCACTGCAGTCTCTGCCTCGACATGCCCTGCTGCTGCTGACACTTGTACAAGTGGATCCTTTAACATGAGCCCCATTTGTCCTTGTGGAAGTATTAAGAATAGCGGGTGACCTGGCATTCTGTAGGCTTTCTCCTGCAAGATGTTGAATATTTTCCACTTCCCCAGCTGCAAGTAGCATTGAAGGTACATGCAGGATCAAAGCCCAACTGAGCCACAGTTCCTAAGGCTAGAGCTGATCCATGTTTCAGATCAACTGAAGTTTGGAGGGTTTAAGATGGACCTCCTTTGCTGTCTTAGCACTTGTGTTTGAGAGGATAAATGAATAGAATCAGGTTGTTTTGAAATATTCTCATTTCAAGCATCACAATACACGTATTCTCTTCAGGAGCATTAAAATAACATTGATTGGCCTAAAAATCCTCTCACACAGAGACCCCATAGGGACAAAAGCTGGAACAGTGCTGCATGCCTAATCTGAGATTGCAATAGCAACAGAGGGTACATAATGAAACCTAATACTATCTTCCTTTGTAACCTCCTAGTCCACACAGTCACAGGAGGAATTTAAGCTGGAGGATCTGAAGAAGCTAGAACCAAGTAAGTAATATCTTTCATTTTAGGTGGGTGATTTTTATAATTACAGTGGAAAGTCTGATAGCCGCAGTAATGCTGACTGGCCTAAATGTGGGTAGACAGTAATGCCGTGGTTAGTCCTCCAAATGTTTGCTACCACATGCATTCTTTAATAAGCAGACTTTAATGTAGTGCTGGAAGATTTAAAGACTGGGTGTCCTTACATTTCATAGTCTATTAATTTGTTCCCCCTTGAATGGACAGTGCTCTTTAGGGTCATTATTAGTTTTAAAGCACAGCAGAAGCCATCCAGTAAAGAATACAAGCATTTTGAAAATTTTGCACTGCTTAGTTGAATCTTCAACCTGCATATATCTCTTTGAATAGTATTGTATTTGAATTGTAAGCTCAGTGGGGTAGAAAACATGCCTATCTTTGTACAGTGCCAAGGACACTGGGCCTCGGGAAATGATTCAGAATATACTGATACCCAATCAGCTATTACACAACACACTGATGGAATTGTTGTAATGATGTTAAATCCTATTGAGGAAAATAGAAGGAAGATAAACTCTGGCAAGTCAAGTGTAAAAGTCTAGTTAGGCAAAACATTTTTGTCTTCTGCTACTTGCACTTCAAATTCTAATAGCATTTTTTAAAGTACTTCTGAAGCCTGCCAAACTATCTTTGGGGCCATTGGATGATTGGGGAGAATCTGGGAAGATAAATCTATTGCAGAGAAGCTAAATGAATTATTTAAAATGGTCTTTCCTCAGAGAATATAAGGGAGATTCCCACACCTGAGGTATTCTTTTTGGGTTGCAGATCTGAGGAACTGTCCAAAATTGAAATATTAGTTGAAGAGGCTTTGGAACAAATTGATAAATTAAACAGTAGTAAGACATCAGAACTTGATGATATTCGTCCAGGAACTCTCATATAACATTACAGAACATCTAACTGTAGTATGTAATTTATTGCTTGAATCAGTCTCTGTACTATTTGACTGGTAGGTTAGCTAATGCAATGCAGATTTTTTTTTAAAAGGATTCCACAGATTATTTTAGTAAATTCAGGTCAGAAAGTCTTAAGTTCAGTATTAGGCAAATTGTAATTATAGTAAAGAACAGAATTATCAGACACATAGTTGCACACCGTTAGGGAAGAGTCAGCGCAGTGTTTGTAAAGGGAAATCACACCTCACCAATCTATTAGAATTTTTTGAGGGGTTTCATCAACATTCACAAGTGTAATCTTGTTGCTACAGTATGCTTGGACTGTCAGAAAGCCTTTAGAGAAGGTCCCTCAATATAGGCTCTTAAACGAAGTACGTAGACATGGAGTAAGAGGGAATGTCCCCTCATGGGTCAGTAATTGGTGAAAAGACTGGGAACACAGGATAGAAAGAAATGGTTAGTTTTCAGAAGGAAGAGAGGTAAATAGTGCAATCGTCAAAGATCTGTACTGGTACCGGTAGTGTTCAGTGTATTCATAAATATTCTGGAAAAAAAGGGATAAACAGTGAGGAGACCAATCTTGCAGATGACAAAATGACTCAAGATAACTAAGTCCAAAGCTGAGTGTGAAAATTTACAAAGGGAGCTAAAAAACTGGCTGGCTGGTCAACAAAATGCCAGATGGAATGTTGATAAATGCCAAGCACTGCATTTTAAAAAACATAATTCCAGCTATATATACATACCAAATGATGGTTCTAAATTAGTTGCTACCACTCAAGAAAGAGATTTTAGAGTAATTGTGGATAGTTTTCTGAATAAGCAGTAGCAGTCAACAAAGCTAACAATTTTAGGAACTGTTAGGAAACAGATAAAACAGAAAATATTATATATGTCACTATATAATAGTGTAAAAAAGTTAAAGACCTGTCTTGTCAAAGGCTTTCTGGAACTCTAAGTACACTATATCTACTGGATTCCCCTTGTCCACATGCTTATATTGACTCCCTCAAAGAATTCTAGTAAGTAGATTGATGAAGCATGATTTCCCGTTACAAAAACCATCTTTATTCTTCCCCCAACAAATTATGTTCATCTATGTGTCTGATAATTCTGTTCCTTACTATAATTTCTACCAGTTACAGAAGTTAAATTTGTTGGCCTGTAATTGTCAAAATCACTTTTTAAAAGGAGCCCTTTTTAAAAAATGGTGTCACATTAGCTATCCTTCAGTTATTTGGTATAGAAGTTGACTTGAAGGATAGGTTACAAACTAATTAGTATTTCTGCATTTTCACATGTGAGTTTCTTTAGAACTCTTGGGTGAATGCCGTCTGGTCCTGGTGACTTGTTACTGTTTAGTTTATCAATTTGTTCCAAAACCTCCTCTAATGACATCTCAGTTTCCCAAACCTGAGCCATTCTCTTTAGGTGTCAAATCTGAGAATCTCCTTCACATCCTCAGCTATGAAGACTGATGCAAAGAATTCATTTAGTTTCTCCACAGTGGCCTTATCCTGAGAGCTCCCCACTGGTTGTTTAGCAGGCTTCCTGCTTCTATTGTACTTACAAAAATTTCTATTGCTTTTTGAGATTTTGGCTAGTTATTCTTCAGATTCTTTTTTCCTTCCTAATTATATTTTTACACTTCATTTGCTAGAGTTATCTATTTTCCTTCACTGGTATTTAATTTCAACTTTCTAAATGATGCCTTTTTTTCTCTCACTGCTTCTTTTACTTTGTATAGCAGTAGTGGCACTTTTTTGCTTCTCTTCTGTTTCTTAATTTTAATTTAAGTTTGAGCCTCTATTATAGTCTCTTTAAAAAGACACTATAATAGTGTTTTTTTTTCTAAAGACCGTTTTAATTGTACATTTGTTAGCATGGACCAATAGTAAGACTTTCAAACATATTCAGCATTGCCAAGTAATTTAAGCCAATGCTGAATGTCTTTGAAAATCTCCTCAGCATTCTACAATGGTCGGAAAGGGTGTTGAGTAAAACATAAGAACGGCCGTACTGGGTCAGACCAAAGGTCCATCTAGCCCAGTATCCTGTCTGCCGACAGTGGCCAGCACCAGGTGCCCCAGAGAGGGTGGACCGAAGACAATGATCAAGCGATTTGTCTCCTGCCATCCCTCTCCAGCCTCTGACAAACAGAGGCCAAGGACACCATTTTATCCCCTGGCTAATAGCCTTTTATGGACCTAGCCTCCATGAAATTATCTAGCTTCTCTTTAAACTCTATTATAGTCCTAGCCTTCACAGCCTCCTCTGCTAACTCCACATCAGGCTTTTGCCTGTGAAAAGAAGGATAACACATCCATAATTTAGATGCATTCCACACTTCTTTGATGATTATCCTAATCAACAAAAGTTAATGGAGGTTTCTAACATAGGTGACACTAGGGCTGAAAATTTCCATGTTATGTGTCTGCCACAGGTTGAATTTCTTTTTTTTAGTTAAGCTGTTTCTAGGGATAAGGTTCTTAGCAACATTGATCTGCTCCTAGTAGCCAAACTTGTTCTCTCAAGATTATATACTAACAGCATTATCATAGGATCTCATGTGAAATCAATAGTAAGAACAATTCTCTAGTTGCTATCTGGGGTAGAACTTTTGTGGTGGGCGAGTGAGAAGTTTGTAGGGGGTTGAAAATAAAAAGGATTTTCAAAACGTGTCTCATGTGGTCAGTGCTTAATTTGTACTGAAAGAGCTGCTGTGGCTCAAGCAATTTTTTTACATTCGTAACTGATGCAGCAAGCCGAGAGGTGCTGGGGATATGAACTGCCAGGACTAGAGATGCTGGAGCCCAGGCCTAGCAAGCCCTGGTACAAATTAAGCACTGCGTGTGATGCAAAGGCTCTTTATGGTGGAAAAGCTTTCTCCGCTTTCTAAAGAGGTTCAGGTCGGGGTTCTCCAGTTCTCTGGAATTTTGTCCCTTTGCTGGGTCCCCTTGACAGAGAATACTTGAAGGAGTGCTTGTGCTTCATCTTGTTCTTTGAGACCTACATTTTCCTAGAAGAGCACAGTTGTCATGAGGGTTCATAGATCAAAGTTTGGTCATTGATGTAAGCTGGCGCTGGATCCATTAATTGCCTTGAAAATTAGGACCAAGGCCATAAACTGACATTGAATGCCAGCTGGGAGACAGGAGAGAGCTTAGCACAAGCACGATGTACTTACAGAAACCCGTACCATGGAGATTGGGAGTAGCTACATTCTGAACCCAGCGTATGCTGTGAATCGTTTTTGCATTCAGCTTCAGATAAAATAGGCAATAGTAAACCAGCTTGAGCCAGCTGCTCTTCAGTGGCAAGTTAGTTTCCTGTGGGCAATTTGATATTTCAGAAGTGGCCATGGCTGCATCGAAGAATGCCAGATGTGGAATCAAGTTCAAGGTTTCAGTCCTTATCTTCAAGGCCTTAGTAGCTTGGGTCCGGGGTATGAAAATACCTTTGAAAGCTCTAGATTGCAGTCTGTGGTCATCAACTCTGGTCCTTGTGTACAGTGGAATCTCCTACCATAAGAATGAACCTCACTTTCAGACATGGGGAGTGACCATGATACACCTCACCCCCTGCTACTTCAGGTGGAAGGTGCATCTTCTCTAATAAATGCATAGCAAAGTGTGCATTAAAAACATCCCCAAATCCGAACACCCCTCTCCATCCAGACTTCTTTTCTTGGGGAGAAGTCAGAGAACGAATGAATACACGCATGGCAGATGTTAGTTATGTTGCTGAAGGCATTCAGATAATGTGGGGAATAGATTCTTCTACTGCAATTATGTAGAACAGTATAGGAATGAGAAAAATGCCAGAGTGTAATTCTTACAGCTGGTTAGTAGGGAAGCTCTGTTACTTCTGTTCTTTGGTGGGATGTCACCCTGGTGTTGAAGATGTCCCCTTCATAGTTCTCATGAAAATTTGGGCAAATTAAGAGCTTTAGAAATCTTGGTGGTTAGCATATGCTCATTAGACTTATTGGATTTGGCATCTAAGTTCTCTAAAGATTTGGTCTGTACTCTGCCTCCTCTCATAGCTTGTAGATACAACCAGATGGCACTAGGGATGTTAAATATCAAGTAATTGACTGATCAGGTAGTCAATGCATTTTTGCTGTTGCTACACTTCAAAGGCAAAAGCACCACGTGGAGCCTATGGTCAGCTGGGGACTCCCCTGCTGACCATGGGCTCCGAGTGGCGCTCCCACTTTGAAACATTGTGGAGAGTCGGGGGCCAGCTGGGGTGTCCCCAGGCTGCATGCCCCAGCTGATCCTGGGTGCCACACAGTGTTGCTGCTTGGAACCGCTGCATGAAGCCTGGGGACACCCCAGTTGGCCTTGGGTTGCATGTGGCGTTTCAAAGCAGCAGTGCCTTATGAAGCCCGGGATCTGGCTCCAGGCTTCACGCAGCCCTGCTGCTTTGAAGTCCCCCCTTCCCCCCCGCCTTGCTGCCTCTTTCTGATAAAGGCAACAAAGAGGGGGGAAGCGACTAGCCTGTCAACTAGCCGATAAGCATTTGCTTATCGGATAGTCAACTAGTTGTTCGCATCGCGGGATAGCACTTGTGCCATTCACTCAGAAGGACCGAGCGGAACTTTCCTGGCAGTTCTCTCCACGCACCCACAGACTGGTGGGGTATCAGGCAAAGGAGATGAGACCAGGAGAGCCCTGCCTGTGTTCCCTCCTACCAGTGCCCAGGCAGCATGGAGGAGGAAGCTGACCCAAATCAAATGATACAGGGTGAAGAATGTGGTGGGTGATATGGGCAGGAGCTGGGATGTAGGGGTGAAGGAAGAGAACTCCAAATGTCGGGAGGAGTTTTATAGGTATCTGTCTTGAGATACCTCAGGTCTGATTTACAGAAGTGCTGAATATGCACAGCTCAACCAAATGACATTTCAACAGCAGCACAGTCAGACTTCAGTACTCCCTGTTCTAGATGTACGTAAACTGTAATTGCTATTACTTATATGTACCTAGTACACATTATGTCAGTTCTGGGGAATTATCAGTCTGATTGGAGCTGATGGCTGTACCACTAGGATTCCTTAGGAAACTGCTGCCAAGTACTTGCTGTCACTGGTTTGCTCCCACTACACTAAGGCCACGGCTGACCTTACCATGAGCGAACTGAGGCAGCCGCCTCAGGTGCCAGACTTTGGGGAGGCGTCATTAGGACCCATAGTATAGAAAATTGTGTCTGCTGCTGGTGCATATGTATTCTCTCTGCTCTAGATGCACAGAGATGGTGGAGTGCTGTGCTGGAGGAAGGAGGGCACAAGAGACATAACAGGCAGGCAGGAGAAAAGGTGACATGGGGGCTTCATTTGAGCTCCCCGCCTCAGGTGTCAAAATGTGGTGGGCTGGCCTTGACTAAGGCCCGCTGTTTTTCTTCATACTCCTTTTGTTGTGACTCTGGCTTCGCTGACAACGTAAGTGTGGCTAAAACCTTGCTTGCCTTTTTGGATTGAACTAAGCTAGTTCACGAAAGCGACCACAGTTCTGGTAATGTTGTAAGCATAGTTGTGCAGTCACTGGCACTCTGGTGTATTTTGATGCATCTGTCATGAGGGCACCATGAAAATGGACTCAGTATTACTAAGTTGTGTGGAGTGCTGGCTTTTTTGTAAACTTGGTTTTCTTAGGAAATGATCTCTCCCTTTTTTCTTTATAGTCTTAAAGACTATCCTCACCTATAATAAAGAATTCCCCTTTGATGTTCAGCCTGTCCCACTCAGGTAAGGAAAATTGTCAATTTGTATGTATAAAAACAGAATTGATATGGAAGGGCAGCATGACCTGGTGGGTAGAGCAAAAAAAGAGGGCGACCTGAACTTCTTGGATCACATTCTTGCCAAGTTGCCTTGGGTAAGACAATTTTTTAAAGCAGCCTTTAATTTGGGGGTACCTAAATTTTAAATGCCAATAGCCTTTTTTTCTTCAGATTTAGTCAACATCTCCTGAAATTTAATGGAAAAATCAGGCCTTTCGCATCTTTGTTTATAGTCCTCTGAAATTTAGCCCATAATCTGTGTGTCTATAATTTGTATGTGCTAGCTTTGCAGGCTTAATTTGGTTGGCACTTTTGATCATCTGAATGCTATAAGCAGTAAGTGTGTGCTTTGAGACAATGTGTTGCTTCTGCACTAAACCTAGGGATAGTGACTTTTTTCCCTCAATTGGAAACTTTATTTTAAAAGAAGTCACTAGCTTTTTGTCTTGGTCTTACAGGAAGATTTTAGCACCTGGAGAAGAGGAGAACTTGGAATTTGAGGAAGATGATGAGGAAGGTGGAGCTGGAGCAGGGTCTCCAGATTCTTTTCCTGCTAGAGTTCCAGGTAGGGTAATCATCTGAAATATTTCATACACCAAGGGAGGGGCTTGAAATTTGTTTAGAAACTATTACAAGAGAGAGCCCTTGTCAGTCACTTCTAGATTCCTCTTCAGCAGAACTTCTCCAGTGGTTAGACATCAAACCAGTAAATATCTCATAGGAATCCCAGACTTGCAGCTGAGTCAGATGGATTTAATCAGTGAGCAAGATTTGTCCCTTCAGTGAGGAGATGGAAATTACTGCTTAAACACTATGTATGAAAACGTGAAGCATTTGTTACACGTACAGGTTTTAGTGAGGACACAGCTTGTTAATTATATTTTTCTCTGCTGACAATAAATGGGGATAAGAAAGTGGAGAATTAGAATCAGAGGGATTTTGCTCTTTTTGTTTTTGTTCATTTCTTCAGAGCAAATGGCCCAATTTAAGTTTTGGGAAGGAGAACATTTTTGGTACTAGAATTGTAGGCAGCATAAATGGGGCAGGCACTCTCTTCACCTGGGCATATTCAGCACCAAGAGTGATCGGTCAACATTTTTGGTACTAGAATTGTAGGCAGCATAAATGAGGCAGGCACTCTCTTCATCTGGGCATATTCAGCACCTGGCATTGGTGTTTTTTAGAGGGGGTCCTCTGGATGCCGTCATAATACAGGCAGTCCCCGGGTTACGTGGATCCGACTTACGTTGGATCCCTACTTACGAACGGGGCGAGGCAACCCTGCACTAGCTGCTTCCCCCCAGCAGACCAGGGAGACGTGAAGCTAGCGCCCTC